TTCATCCGTGCTTAATTGTTTGATAATTACAGTCTTTACTATTTGTGATGCTAGAGCATTACTTGCTTCCCAAATGAGCATCTAAATGAAATGTCTGACTCTGTGATGACCCGACCAGACACTTTGAATTATGCAAGAAGTCTTCATTAGCGCGACGCCCCACTCACATGCGTGCTTGGGGCCAGGGAGGATCTTCCTATTGTGGCCATAAGATGGCAGTATCAGCACAGTGACAGAGCTCATACTGCAGCAAAAGTCATCTGACCTACATCTCAAAACAAACTGCTAGAGCTAAATATTGGGGCAGGAATCACCTATTGAGCTGTGTTTATTAATGAATGTGAGAGGCGGTTGTAGTGGTAATAGCTGGGGTGTGGTGTGTGTGCTCAGGCAGAGCTCCATTTTCCGACTGATTCAGGAGAAGGACTGCAGCCCCTCCTGGGGCTTGGGGAGTGGGGGACAGCAGTGGGCAGAGGAGATGTCCCACTGTGTGGAGGAGAAACAGATGGCATTTATGTTTGTGGATGTGAAAGGCATATAGCAAGGAGAGAGAGAGAGAGAGAGAGAGAGAGACAGAGAGAGAGAGTGAGAAGCACAGCTTTGCTAAGGTTAAATGCACAGATATAGTATAGTTTATAGGATTACACAGAATAATGATACAGGACATGGTTGCTATTCTCTCACCATCACTTTCCTCACTCATTCCCTCACTTTCTCAGCCCCCCTCCCTTCTTTTTCCCTCTCCCCTGTGACGCTGGTATTGGTGGCCATTTGGCGCAGCACTGCCCACATGATTTAAGCTAATGGTACATCTGTCTATAAGGACAAGCATGTGCGTTTGTGTATGTGAGTGAACACGTGTGTTTGTGTGTGTGTTCACGTGCCACGCCTCCTCAATCCTCTGACATTGAACAGTGTGTGTGACCTTGTACATTCCTCTCTATCCCCTGCCCAGCCCTCATACCAACCTCTACTACTAATCACCTCCATTTCATCTGTTCATTCTTTCAACCTTGATTTAATCTGTTTTGTGATTTTTGCATAAATTGATGTAATAAAATAAGAATAATTATTATCGGTAATAAACATATTATTTATTATTGTTGTTGTTGTCGTCGTCATGGAAAACAGGAAGACAGTCAAAAGAATTAAAAAGTAAGGATAAATGTTATAAGGATCTGCTAACAGTTGACTCCAAAAATATAAAAGGATAGTCTTCCCTTGTATCAGTCTCTCCTGTCACTTCATTCTTCTACCTCTATCCCTCCATCAAATTAGTTCACTTTTCTCATACATCCCTCAATCTCGTCCGAGTGGGCTGACAGAATTAATGCTAGGCAGGTTGGATCAATGGGAGAGAATGATGAGGAGGAAAGGGAGAGGATTATGAGAAGACAGCCCTGTTATTGTAGTCCTCCTTTATTACAACTGTGGGAGTGATTACTCAGTGAAACATGGCTGTAATATGGTTCATGCATATTGCGTGAATGAGAACTTGACAGATTTACAGTCTGACTGCCCCACCGCCCTGTCTCTCTAGGAGGCTCTGTGTCCTCTAACCATGGAGAAAGATCAGAGGAGGAGGCTGTGTGTCCAGAATTTTCCCCTCAGGTTTAATTCAGTACTTTAAAATGGCTGTCACAGACCTGGGGATGTTACCAAAGTCCTGAGCTCTGAAGAAAAATTTCAGACTGTTCTTTTTATCTTCTGTTCTTCTTCTTTCTCTCCTTTATCTTTCTGCTCTTCCTCTTCTCTTTTTCTTCTCTCTCTTGTTCTCTTTTCCTCTTCTTTATTTTTCTCATCATCCTTTTCTCTTCTTTACCTTTATTTTCTTCCTCACATTTATCCTCTTCTCTCTACCTCTTCTTCCTCTTTTCTTTCTCTTATTTACCTGCTTTTCCTAGTATCTTTCCACTATTTCCACTCTGTTCTCTTCTCTTTCCCCTCATCTTTCTTCTTCTCTTTCTTTTCTTTTTCTCTCATCCTTATTTCCACTCTGTCTTCTCCCCATTTCCCTTCTCTTCTCTTCTCTTCTCTTCTCTTTTCTTCTCTTCTCTTCTCTTCTCCTGCTCTGTATTTATCATTTATGCTGGAGAACAGAATCTGTCCTCTGGGAGTTGAGGGTTCAGTACAGTTGTGAACAGAAATGGATTGCTCAGATTTTCCCCTGTAGATTTCTTTGGTTGGCTGTGTCAGCTCCTCTCTGTGCACGGGTCATTGTGTATGTGTGTGATGTGTGGCATTTCAGCCAGGGTCATAGGCTACTCAGTTGGGACAGCATCCTGAGCTGAGGTTAATACTGCAGCTGCTTTGGGGGTGAAAGGACCTGCCATACGCACACCATACGTACATAGCCGTAAGTCAAAACCACCCAAGCGTGTCATTAAAAGAGGAGTCAGCGCTTGTGTGATGTGCCTGTTCCCATCAGCAAATCAGAAAAATGGAGCTGCCTGGAGAAACTCCCTCTGACTGCAGCAGCTGCAGTCGGGCTGCTCATATCCAAGCCTGGGTGTAGAGCGAGATGCCACTTTTTTATCTATACGGTGTGCTTAGACTAAAGAGAGACAGACAGCGAGACGGAGAAACTGTGGTGTTCCAGAAACTGTGGTGTACCATCCAGTTTGCTCTACACTGAGAGGATTTGTGCCAACTCACTACAAACAAACCCTTTAGTATTTAAAATGCATTATATAGGATAGAAGGTTGGCGGATGTGCTGAGTGTTCAGTCTAAGTGCTGAGAATGACTGCACACGTGAGCTGTACAGAGGCTGGAAAATGTTCGGAGTTGTAAATAACACTGGGTCCCATGCTGTAAGTCTCTAGGAGACAGACACTCAGTTCGGAACACTCAGCCTCTTCAGTGAGTCATATGGCGGAAAAAGAAACTGCAGTGGCCTTACAGTCGCCCTCCTCTAATCTTCTCCTAACACGGGTCATATACACCGGGAGAGGAGAGCGCCGATCGCCAATCAGGACCTCCCTCACACTCCGTCTCTATGGCAACAGTCACGGCCGGACGAGCTTCGCGAGCGCAGCCAGGTGTTGGGGCTTTTCATTTCACACCCGTATTCAGACAAGGCCCGCCTCGTGCGCTGGTTCTGGCTGGGTCGCCCTCTCGAGCAGAGAGTGGGTCAGAAGTTGAGGCTCACAGGCGTCCCGCCTACGTTATTTTCCCAACATCTGTACACAGACAAGCCCCGCCTGCTGCGCTAGGATCGGCTAGTTCATGAACAGTGTTCCGATGTTAGGATCGGCTGGTAGTTCATAATCACGAGCAGCGATCGTCTAGAGCGCTGTTTGCTACTTTAGACCCCCCAGCAGCCATTTGATTGGCTTAGGCAGCGTGCGAAATACCCAGTGGTATTCAGGGGGTCCCATATTGACCGGTTACTCCAACTGCTCACTCGCCGACGCCTTTTCCAGTTTGGTCATACGCTCTTCTTCACATTAACTGAGATCTTACACAGCTGCTCTAGTGTCTTTGGTTTGAGAAATGGGTTGAAATTGGGCGAGTTTTCCGATTTACAAACATGCTATGGCACATTGTAAAGTTTTCAGAGGAATCCCGAGCATGGTTACAGTTGCTAGGCTATGAACGGGCAACTGGGTGAACCAGTTTGCTACAGCGCCACCTTGAGGCAGACCAGTGCTGCATCTGTAGTTGGTTAAGAATACCAAAGACAGAAGCTCGCTGACTGTGGGTCAAGCAAGTGAACAATGAGCTTTTATGAGTTTGTATTTAAGCGTCTGTTTTTTCCCGAAAGACAGCATAACGTTAAAAATAAGTTTATTTTCAAGGACTCCCCCAGAATTTTGATTTTGCGATATTCAGGGGGTCCAAGAGGTTAATTAGGGGGTCCCAGACCTCCAAGGACCCCTTGTATTTCGCAGCTTGCTAAGCTACTTTGTACTCTCAAGCAGTGCTATGACTGACTAGTTCATGCTCTCAAGCTATGATTGGCTGGTATTTCATGCTCTCAAGCTACTGGTTCCACAATAGCAATCATTGATTCGATATTAAAACAAGATTCAAGTGTCAATATTAACTTCACTGAATTAATTCACCTTAAAATTAATATTAAAATAACACTTAAAGTTTAACATAAATTCAACAGAACACCAATAGTACCCAAGTAATTTTTCTACCCTTCAAAAATACTATTATTGCAGTAAAATATAGCCTAGTTTCCTAAAAATATAGTTTGAAAATATTGTTTCTTAAAAAAGCCAACAGAAACAAACCTTATTGGTCTAAAACAAATATTTATTACTTTATTATTACTTTATTATTTTTAGACAGAAAAAAAAGTTTTTCATTCTGATTTATTGGAGAACGTTAGTTATTATCCAACACAGTTTGAGAAGCCTTAGGGCCGATTTTATTTATTTATTTATTTATTTGTGAAAAACAATCATTTCACTGAGCACCAGTTGCTAAGAAACAACACACTTTGTACCACAACTAACCATTACTGAGTTTCTATTTTAGTGCTTACAAAAACAGAAGTGAATACTTTTATAAGATATTATTTGACCTGTGGTTTGATCAGATTCTAAAGAAGAGTGTATAACGGCAGGTCTACACCAAAGTCTGAGCCGCTAAACAAGCTGTGACAGCAGAACGACTAAACAAACTAGCCAGAAACACACAGAATCCAATTCAGCACACATTCAAAAATTCAGCAAAAGCTGAGATGAACCTGATATTGACAGTTTATCCCTAAACCAACAAGCTACTACTTTTTGGCATTTGACACAATGCTTCACTTTTTCTCTTCCCCTTCGCCTCCTGACTACGACCAAATCACAGCGGTGGTGTTACTTCGTGCTCCACTGCTTAAATAGTTTCTAACGGTCCACAGACAGCCTGCTGTGAATATAAACTAGTAGCCAATCCTGGCGCAGCGGGGCGGGGCTTGTTGGAATACGGGTGGAAAAACAAGAAGGGGAGCTCGCGGGCTGCGCGAGGGAGCAGCAGAAACACCTACGCATCCCCATCATACCTTCCCATGTACGCTGCCTGGTTTGTACGAGTGCGGATTTTTTCTAACCTTGGATCTCAGCCGAACGACACAATGGTGCATCATTCCGGATCTATACAGTCCTTCAAGCAGCAGAAGGGTCCGTATAGTTGCCTTCCTCTCTGCTCTGTGTGCGTGAGTGAGTGTGAGTGTGTGTCAGAGTATCTGACGGATGCTGGAACGCGATGGTGAAAGTGTGACTGCGCTGCTTACTTTTAAGAGCCTCTGTGATCTGTGATCGTGTGGGCAGCTGCTCGTTATTGTTTGCAATTTATTGAACCCTCGTGACGCGTGTTTTCTCCTGTATATTACATTTTCTTTCAGACTATTGTGATACATGTAGAAAAATCTGTATAACACAGTCTGTAATGTATGAAAAAGTAGTTTATATGGCTTTTTGTCTCTCTTCAGTAAGACTGGCGTGCTGTAGCCCCCACTGTAGTGCGCCGTTTGACAGATAACAGTGTGATTTCATCAGGAGCATCTCCCAATGACATGCACACTGTCGTTGGCGCAGTATTGAAAGCTGTAGCTCTAACTGCATGAGACTACAGCCAGTAAGTCATGAAGAGCTCTTGATTTCTGCCTGGTTTAGGTGAGCTCGTATTTCCCCATTCAGCCTTAAATCTTGACGACTATTAGAGTGGTCTCTGGTATCAGAACCTCTTTTCCCGGTACTAGAAATGGAACTGGATTGCCACTGTCATTAATGGAATCAGTACCCACGCTAAGTGGTCATCTTCACATTAGGGTGCACTCTGCTGAAATGGCAGCTCTCAGGGTGACTGGTGCTGTGAGTGCAATTGAATTACTACAGCAGGGAGGAAGAGCGATCCCAGGTTAATTCTCCTGTGAACAGATGGAGAACAAGTTTACAAGGCAAAATTTTGGTGGTATGGCAAACATTAATTCTGTGCGGTGTCAGTTAACATCCCTGGCTCTTGCTTTACTGTGTAACTAGACGATACACAGTGCAAAAACCACTGAAACATCCACATATTGCAAGTCATGCAGCTTTCAAAACAAAGCCAAAGCAGGTTTTAATACAGTCAAACATTTAGTCTTATGCTCTTTCAAAGACTGCTTGCTTATTAATCATAATCACGAAAATGGCTTCTGTGCTACTGATCAGAAGGCTGCAAAGTACCACTTAGCCCTCTAACAGATCACAAACTTCATGGTATGCGGTGAGCTTCCAACCTCAGACGTCCCTAGTGAAGATATTTGTGGCTCATTAGATTAATCAAGGTATTTATATGATCAGGTCAACATCATGCAAGACATCGCAGGATGTATCAGTATATTGTGCCCTAAATACTAGATTGCTTGAAATTGTTACAAATGCATTGACCTGCTCATGCTCTACCCACATGTGTTCCTTCATAGCAACTGTTGCTAGGTCAGACAAGCTTTACAGATGGTTGGCAAGCTCCTATTCAATCTAATGAGTCGCTACAAAACAGTGAGTTACCAGTTTGAAATGCTGCTCTACTAAGCTGGACTGTGTCGTAGTAGCAAATCAGAACTAGTCAGATTCGAGACAACAAAGCATTTGCCATCATGCTAATGTTAGCTTAATTAATAAATAAATAAATAAATAAATAAATAAAAAACATCATCCTTCCTAACAGTGTAACTTTTCACACACATACAAAATGAATATAATTTGAAAATGATAATCTACTTATTTTGACTAAGATTGTTCTGTAAAGCTTGTCCAACATAACAACAGATGCTTCAGAAAACAAATTTGTGGGTGGAGCAGGGCCAGATCAATTCAGACAGACCCCATAAACAGACATAAAGCCAGACGTTGCTGCTCCTTCTTCTCCAGCCGTATGGTTTGTGCTTTGTCTTGTGTGCACACTGGACAGACTCTCATACATCCCTTGTCTAAGCTTTTGGGTTGAAGGCCTGCCATCCCTCAGATCTCCAGCTCAGAGCAGAGCGTCCGTCCACTGCTCCAGCCAAAGCACTTCTTCTCTCAGATCCCGCACAGAGCCACACTGGCACTCAGGCTGCCTCCCTGGTCATGCTGCATTTGGGACGTGTCTTATTGTTTATTGATCTTTGGCAGCAGCAGGCACATCGCGAGCCTTTGCCCTGTGAGGGAGTCGTGTATTTATAGCGCCACTCGACACTCTCCCACTCTCTCCTCACAGACGTACCTCCTTTACGGCCATCCGGTATTGATGGGCGAATGCATGCCCGGCTCATTGCAGGGCATTAGAGAGGCTCTAATGACCCTGTGGTTAATTATTTAGGGCTTTGCAGAGACTGAAGGCCAAAGTGCCCTCTCTAAGTGAAGCTGTGGCTGCGGTGGCTCCGTTGCTGTGGCATCTGCCGGTTAATGGACAGTAATGTGCCTTTTGCCTATGTTTGTGTTAGACACTGATGAAAATATAATGGGTGTTAAAGACTTGAATGGAAGAAATAATGCTGAGTTAGAGGTTCTCTTTATAGACAATAGTGCAAAGTAATCATGGCAATCTTTGGTTTATTTTAGTTCTATCCAATGGTGGTATGTTGTGGTGGGAATTTCTCTTGAAACTGGTCTGGACTCAGACTTGAGGGGTAATAACAGAGGGTATTTCATAATTACATCACTGTAGTTAGAAATGGAGCCAATGAATACCTCGAGTGTGGAACATATTTTGATTGGATGGGATTCCATTACTCCAGTGATCTCAGTGAATATCTGTCATGACTGTTGAGAACAATGTGATTTGCTTTCGTTTCTGGGGAATGTCTCCATAATGACTAAAGCAACAGTGATGCATCTTCCTCTCAAAACGCTGTTTTCAGACACTATAAAAAAAACACATTATAGGAATAGTCCAGCATTTTTCAACCTGCCGCATCTGTAACATACGGTTGATCACTACAGACAGTGATTTTAACATGTTTTCCTGCACATAGTAAAAGAACAGAAAGACATCTGACACAAAAATACAATTGGGTTATTCTCAGGAACATGATAAATAATGGGATGCAAAATTTTTTTCGAATGTTCAAACAACTCTACCTGGCTGAATGATTAAAAAATAAACCTGAATGATGTAGTTGATTTTAAATTCATATTTAGTCACATTTTCCAATTTAACTGGCCAGATTTTCAGTACTGCAACACAGTAAGACTTGAAGATAAGTAATATTTAAATAATGATGTTTTTAGTTTTTCTTTTTGTGATCTATATGCTTTTAAAGATAATTATTAAAGCAGTACTGTGCAAAAGTCTTAAGTACCTAAGCAAGTTATTTTGGTAATAAGTATGTTAGTTTAAAGAACAAAGTTTGGTTCCAGATTTCTCCTCAAGATGTAGGGCCATCGCAAAGATTTGTTAAATTCCACCAAAAGCACACTTAATTTAACCTAATGAAGGACTTACTAGCAAAGACAGGTATTGGATAATAACTACCCATAGCACTGGGCTGCCATAAGGAGCAGTATGGAAATTGTTTATACTAAAATTAAATAAAATTATGCTTGTTTATTGTAATATTGCTAAAGTATTTTCTGGGCAAATCTGATCAGTTAAAGCATTTAATTAGATATTAGTTAGATCAGTTTAAGCATTTAAATCTGTTTTTTTTTTTCATCTCATTTCTGCAATACATTCAAGATTTCTATTTCTGTTTGTGCCAAATTGCAAATTGTTGGTTTGGTTCTACTCCTCAAAGTTTACAAAAAACACTAAAGCTGCACTCCTTAGGATTTTTTTTTCTTAAAATGTAAAGAAGAAGTAGCATTAGGGAGAAAAGATGCTAAAAAATATATATATATGTATGTGTATATATATATATATATATATATATATATATATATATGTATGTGGGGAAAAAATCGATTCTTAGATGCATCGCGATGCAGACGTGGACGATTCTGAATATTTAATTTATAACGTAATGTTGACGGAACGCAAAAGGCGGAACTTGGAAGTGCGGAAGTGCAGCGCCCGGACAGTCTGTGGCGGCACATAACAAAAACACTACTGGATGAGCGAGAAATCCGACCAGCTCCCTCTGCATTAAAGCCAGGTTAGGTCAGGAGTCACAACCCGAATATTAAGAAGAGCCGTTTTGTCCTTTCAACAAAAATCAAACCACCTTGGGAGCCACAACATTTAATGTCCAGTATGTCTCAGTATGTGATAATGTCCTAGTATAGGCTAAACAATATAAACAAAAACACAGACTTGCTCTGCTCTGCTTTAAGCTTTAGCTCAGCTATAGCCGCTTTTCTTCCATCTCCGCCAGGAAACTTTTCCTTTTCCTTTTTAGTGTTTGACAGTCTCTCGTTGCAGATTTAACGTACCAGGAAACCAAGTGCGCTGCTTATAAATACAAACTTGTTGTTTTCTAATAAAAAAAAAAAAAATAAGTACTGGTAATCAGAATGTGCATTGTAGTGATGAGAACTGTGGAAAAAAATGGCAAAAAACATTAAAATGGACAAATAAATGATTTTAACTTTGCAGTGTTATATGGTACAACAATCATATGATGATTATGACAAGTATTTCAGAACATAGTTAGAGGCTAGACAGAACGACCCAATCATAGATATAGTAAGCAATCGATGCTCTTTGTTGAAGCAGGTGAACCGAGTGAATCTTGAGTGTTTGGCATGGTGTGTCCTCCAGTAGTAAATGACGTAATAGCAGGTACAGGAAATTGGATACTGTCACGCCTCCTGCTTTCTCCTCCCCTTCGAGGTGTTGGGGTTTCCTACATAACAATCTGATTTTCATCTGCCAGTATCATCTCAATCAGATTAAAAAGAAGGGTCATGCTACTTCAGCATTTGCTTTCCTCGTATATGTAGTGTTACTTAGAGCACACACATACATACACACACACACACACACACACACACACAAACAGTCACACGCACACAAATAATCTTACAGCTGGACTGCAGCCCAAACGAAAATGGGATTTTACAGTGTTTTTGCTTCTGGGTTTGGTGCAAAGGTGTGTGTGTGTGTGTGTGTGTGTGTGTGTGAGTGTATGTGCGTAAGAGAGAGAGAGAGAGAGAGAGAGAGAGAGAGAGAGAGAGAGAGAGGAGAAACACAGAGAGTGAGTTGAGGAGAATGATGA